ATATGATCTCAATCAATATGTTTTTGGATTGCCTTGAAAATGCTACTGAGCAAACAAATGTTACAATAATCATGATACACAATATTTCAGAACAATACCTGTTTTCTTGAAAGCTGAACGCGAGTAAACCACCCCCCTTCCCCGTCTTCTATGAGGTCTGTGGTTCCAATCAATATTCTATCCAAGTGGGCATGTAATCAATATTCCAGGGGGTGGGGTGAAGGTGGGGAGAAAGGCAATAAAGAAAAAAAAAAACAAAACAAAGGGAAGAAAAGCACCTAAAGATATAGCCAAAGTCAGTAATAACTAGTTGCAAGAAAAATGAAGCAGCAAGTCGAGAGAAAAAGGCAGTGTTTTGTAGAGAAAATGTGACCTATTGATAATCCCAAAGGTACTTTTTTTCAGGAGGCAACTGGACTTCCTTGTTTTTTCTTTGAAGATGTTTCACTCCTCAGCCAAGAAGCTTCTTCAGTTCTGACTGGATGGTGGGAATGGAAGGATTTATACTCCTTGCAGAGAACTGGTCATTTGCATTCTTTTAACTGTCTCCAAAGAGTATAAATCCTTCCATTCCCCACCATCCAGTCATAGCTGAAGAAGCTTCTTGGATGAGAAGTGAAACATCTTCAAAGAAAAACCAGAAAGTCCAGTTGCCTCTTGAAAAAGCATCTTTGGGACATCCATAGATGACTTATTAAAAGAGACCTTAGAAACAAACAACAGAATATTGCTGGTTGTCACAATTCACAACTCGAGCCACTGAAATGGACTATTAATCAGCTATGGTCCATACAAGACAATGACACCAGATTTTCTCAAACCTGGCTTTTGCATTAGTCCGAAAATATGTTACTGAACTCCTTCTAATTTGAAGCTACCATAGGCTACAATGGCTCTCCTATTACAGTGTAAAATACCACTGAGCTTACGTGTTTTATGTTGGAGGCTGGTAATGTTTTTAGACATAAGGAACAATATTTCAAGAACTGGAAGAACAGTTGGAGAGAAAAGGCAATAAGGGGAAATGCTTGGGTGCTTTTGTGTCTGTAAGAAATAATGGGTCTGAAGTGCTTCTGAATTCTAATAAAGAGAATATGATGAAATGGGCAGAAACTTGCTATTTAAAAATGACAGCTTTCCATGATGACCAAACTGAAACTCTCTCATTCATAATAATTCCCTAACAGGCTTTCTTGTATACCATGCTGTAGGAGACTCCTTTCAAACTATTAAGTGAATAGTTGTTTCCCTCAGAGGCTCCTCTTATGAGACTCATTCATCAATCTGTGTTATTTGTTGGCTCCGAGATGGATTTGTGTATATGGGTCTACAGAGATTGCATTAATCCTCCAGGGTAAAATGATTATGGAGTTCAAACTATAATAAAAGTTTCTGCAAAATTTGGAATGCTTAGATGAATTCTACTTTCCAGGGCAAATACTATGTTTATTATTTTCATATAATTATTGTTTCTGTTCCTACTTCAAGTTTAGGCTGAAAATAGTTCCCAATACCAAAATATAGCGTAATGGTTCTGTAGAGAAAGGTTTTTCTGTGGACCGGAGGCAGCGTGATTTCTCATGTTACCTGCATCCCATGGATGGAGCTTCATTTGTTTGCACGGCCTGGTTTCTGACATGCTGAGGCCCAGTGCCGGTCCACAGACCAGGGGTTGGGACCTCTGGTGTAATGCACAAGACATACCCACAACAGCAGAATTACAAGTTCAAAACCTAAATTTAAAAACTCAGTGCTTCCAAGTATAATCTTTGTGAAAGTCAGTGCTCTTTTTTCAATCAGCCACCCCTGAAGCACCTCTTATGGAAGGGGCAGGATCACAGGGTAGAAAAAAGCCTAGGTTGATTCATTATCACAGTCTTTCCTAGTGCTGAAAAGTAGGCCTGTTCATGTTTCAAAACCTGTGTGGGAAAAAGTACTCCAATATACATCAGAAAGGAAACACAGTTCCTTTTTAAGCAGTTTCTACACAAGTCTGAAAATGTTGCGGCTGTTTTCTTAATGAGATTCATTAAAGCAGCTGTGTCTTTCTCAGGCTTACTGAAACTTTGAAAAAGGTCCAAACTCCGGACCTAAACCAAAATCAGGACGCCACTCACTCTGGGTTCCAAATGGTTTATTAAGCCGGATTCTTGGCACACTGAGTTCTATCAACAAGAAGAAAAAGAATAAAGTTAGCACTGGGAGCCTCTGCCTCCCAGCGCCCTTTGAAGATTGGAGCCATGCCCTTCTGCTGCTGGAGCAGCCGACCACCTGGCAGGCCCAATCAGCTGATCATCGCGCCACAAGCAGACATGATCAGCTGCTCATCAGCTGGCTTTCGGGCAACCATGATCAGCTGATTGTTGGCCAGCTTGCATTCTGTCAGAATCAGCTGTTCATTGGCTCCGCATTGCTCGCTGGATGCAGCCTCCAATGGCCTTCAGGACGGTCCTCCCACCACCCAACTCCTGTGCTGGGGTCCCTCTCCCAGGTACGGCAAACCTCATTCTGGGGTTTGACAGGTCGTACCTGTAAGACAGTAAGCACATGCATCACATTAACAAGTCATCATGCCCGACCTCTCATATCCCTCCCAGGATTGTGGGGATGTCCCTTGTGGAATTTATGTATTAGTTGGGCGGCTCTAATATTCCTACTCAGCACCCAGGAGGCCTCCGTTAATGGGTAACCTTTCCATTGTATCAAGTAGTGCATCCCCTACGTATCTGGAAATAGCTATAAAATATCACTTTTGACTAAGCATTTCTTAAATGAATGTAACAACTGAAAAAAAGCTCTTTGTCTAGCTAGCCAATGCCTAATATCTTAAGAAAAGACAAATCTTTAAATCAGTATAATCTCTAATAAAGATCTTTCTCTGATTTGATCAAAATTGCATGATGGGTGATAAGGCCTGAACAGGGTAGACAGCAGTGGTTATATGTGCCTATAAGTGTATCTAAAGTCTTAAAGTGGCTTAACAGATAGTCATTTAACTGAATGATATTGGGGATTGGTGACCATTAGAATATTTTTTTAATGTCCTAATTTCAGTTGTAATTGCAAATGGAAGCTGTATGCAGGTGGAAGTTTTGCACAAGAACCAGATAAACAAATAGATCAGACAATTTTCAGAATGGAGTTTAATACCTTTCTTGCCAACTCAGAACAAAGAAATTGGCCATTAGCAGGCTCTTTGGGGTCTATGTAGGAGAATCAATGACTTATTCACAGTGGGCAATCAGCAGTTTTCAGGACAACCCCTTGAATAAGCTCCTCCAATAGCATTTCTATATATAAGCAAGCGACCTCTGGCACCTTTTTCTGAAATTACCCACCACGCTACAAATTTTAAATGTGTTCCATGAACCTCACTCCTGAAAGGATGGAAAGTTCAGTGAGCCTAAAATTACCTTCCACAATCATATTCTGTTTCTAGATCTCCACTTGGAAGTGTTTCATAAGTGTTTCATTCTTGATATTATAGTTATACTGTGCATTATCGAGGCCCAAAGCCATGTTAATAAATATTAATATTAATATATTATTAATATATTAATATATTATTAATATATTAATAATATTAATAATGCATATAAAATTGATTATAAGTTCAAATTTAAGTTGAAAAAAAAAATCAAACAAGAAAGGTATATCCAGAAATTAGCCCCGTGCAGAACTTGTGTGACGCACTCTGATTCAACAACACTTTTATCACAGCATCCCTTTGAAGCAAAGAGCTGCATTGCAGCATTGGATCCTAATGGCAGGACTGCTTCTTTTTGCACACCGCACAAGCCCATATAGAATCCAAAAATCTTTTTGCATGATTCAGAACAGTTAAAGTGAATCACAAGACACACTTTCCAGAAATGTTATTTGCTCATTTAATAACTAGTGCGTGGCCAACTGTTCAGATTCCCAGAAAAATAGCCCTGTAAATTGTATTGTCCTATCAATTACTGATGTGAGCTGGCTTCAAAGGGTGACTAATCACCAGGCTAGAAAGAGAGACAAATTTCACAATATGATACCTCTATCTCTATCAGAAATATCACCAGAAGTTACACAACACAGTGGTGTTCTCCAGAAATAATAGCCTTCATCTATTGTGGTTCCCAGGTGGCATAATTGTTATTTGTGCCTATGTCATTCATTCATTTATTCAGGAAACTTTTACAGCTGCCCATCTTATATATATCATACTCTGGCCAGATCACAGCAAATACATTAAAACATATATTTTAAAAAGCCCCAATATCCAAAAGAACACAAATGCCTGGCACACTACAGTCACACTTCCAAATAAAAACAACAACAATAAGTACCAGCATCGAGCGCTAATCACATCTAATCCCAGTGCTTGGGGGAAGAGCCAGTTTTTAAAGGCCTTCCAGAAGTCTAGAATGTGATGCAGCATGATTAAAGATTCACAAATGTTCACTTATTTACGATCAAATAAGAAATAAATTGATTTCCTTTTCCTTCAAAGGAGACAAAGTTAGTCCTTTGGTAGGCACCGGTTTAATTGATATTGATGAGTTTGTAGACCCTTGGTATGGCCTCTTCCTCCTTTATCAATAATTCACATTTTTGTTCCTGGTAGCAGTGGTCAAATTAAGAGCCAAGCAGAAAAAACATGATTGTGACCAAGCTGATCAAGATTTTCTTTGCCTCTTTGATACTGTTCTATAAACACAAAGAAATTGGCCATTAGTAGGCTCTTTGGGGTCTACGTAGGGCAGGGGTGTCAAACTTGCGGCCCACGGGCTAGATGTGTCACATACTGGTCACGCCTACTCCCATTTTAGCAAAGGGAAAAAAAGTCGGGATACGTCACGTGACAACATGATGCCGCAGGTTTGACACCCCTGATGTAGGGCAACCAATGACTTATCTACAGTGGATAATAAGCAGTTTTCAGGACAACCCTGTGAAAAAGCATCCATTGATGAGACATCTTTCTGATACCTCACAACAGAGCAGACAATTCCCCAGAACATCCAGTGCATCTGGCCATTGTTCTCTCTTTAGTGTTTCCACTAAATCCCTCCAAGTGACAATGAATCATAATTGAAATTATTTAACCAGTTTTGTTTTTAATTAACCATGTTGTTGTTGTCGTCATCCTTTCACCTTTAGTAAGCTTATTTTCTCTGGAGCAATTGTATTCAGTTCTGAAAAAAACAATGTTACTTTAGAATGATACAGAAATAAATAATAGCAAAAACGTGATTCACGTGGATACAAATTGATAAACAGAGTTTTGTCAGATGAAAGCTCATATTTTATAACACAGTTCTGTGTCCAAGAATTTATAAAATGGAAACAGACTTTTTTGAACAATTTCTTGTACAAAGCCTATAACATAAATTTTCTCTGGAAATCATACCTCATTATTTAGTTGTCAGACTTGATGGGGTCACATTTAGATACAATCTTTCTTTAATAAGTAGTGAATGCAGAATGTTTAAAATTGGTCTGCCAATTCTCAACATGGTAAGAAGTATGAAAATTGTTCCAGTGATCTTATAAATAAGACTTCCCTTTCTGAATAGTACAGGACAGATATAATCACATAAGCAGTATGTTATATAGGGATAGTATTTCCTTTGGGTCACAAATTTTCACCAAACTCAAGCAATCACATAAAAGCTTCATAGGGTTAACCTTTATATTGACTCCTTACATTTGACATCTATTGAATTTTGCAATTGGTCTGTTTTCTATTTCTCTGCTACCTGTTGCAGATACATCATAATGCAAATTTATGATCTTGCTCTATTGTGCATTCTCCATTTGCTTATGCATTGTGATCTGTGCTACAATGCATGCTATTTTCATGGAGTTAGCTATAGTATTGTGCTGTAAAACAAATTCCAAACAGGTGTTCTCACAGACTTAACATAATAAATGCCAATGAGCTCCTTCTTTGCTTCCTCTTACCAAGGAACTGTTTAATTATATTTTTCTATCACATGTTTATTGCACATGTATCAAGTAAGTGATGAAAGCTCCCCAAATGCTTTCCAAGTTGATAAATGACCAAATCACATCAATGTAGCAGACCTTAACCTAGCAATATAAATTGATTATATTTTTCTCAGTAGCTTATTACGGACAAAAACTATTATTAAAGAATCCTACATGAAGAATGACAATAAGAATAAGTATCATTCATGAAGAATGGTACAAACTAGAAAATTTCTTTGGGGCATTTTCTAAAGCTTGAGTTTGTTCAAAAGCAACATAATAAATTTTGAAAGACAGTGCAGTCAGAAAAAAATCAGTTTCTGAAGATGAAAAGAGACAGGTTTTATAGCATAAACAAAACAAGCCCAGTGTTTGCCCACAGCAATAAAATTACTCAGAAACGATAATAGAGCAGAAGTCAAAACTATTGTGTCTCTTAGAAAGTTTATACGCTTTTATATGCTTTGGAAGCATTGTTCTTGGGGGCTTATTTCATGCATAGGATCTTTTAAAGTAAAGAATTTGATATATCAGAGTGCTTCACTCTCCTTTTTTAAAAATGAAATTTCCTATTCATTGGCATTGAAATGTATTATACCTCAAGACTGTTCGGAATATAATGGTTGTTTCTGTGTATTGGAGGAAGTAGTGGTAGAGAATTGACAATGGGATCCTCCAATACATGTCTTTGAATTGGAGGAATTGAAATACCAGTCAAGAATTTGAACTTTGGAGAAGATTTCATTCTTTCCTTACTCCATATCAGGGGCGTCAAACTCAAGGCCCGCGGGCCGGATCTGGCCCATGGGGTGCTTAAATCTGGCCCATTGGGCCAGCCCAGAAATATGAAAGGACTGGCCTGCTGTGCCTCTTGAAGGCTAAAACGGGCCAGGTGTGGCCCCCTGTGCCTTGTTTTCACTCTCCATGGCTTCCTGCAGCACTCTGCCAGCCAAAACTGGGCCCCAAACAGGCCAAAAATAGGCCCAAAAAAGGCCACAAAATGGGCTGAAAAATGGGCCAAAAACAGGCTGAAAATAGGCTGAAACATGGGCTGAAAAATGGGCCCAAAATGGGCTGAAAAACAGGTCCAAAAATAGGCTGAAAAATGGGCCAAAAATGGGCCACGTGGCCCATTTTGGCCGGCAGAGTGCTGCAAGAGGCATCCTTCCCACCCCCCTTGAAGAAATCCAGTTTGACATCCCTGCTCCACGTTATTGTGCAAAATGTTCAGTTTTTGAAGATAGGCTTCAGTCACTTCAAAAATGTTGTGAGGGAAGCATCTGCTACTTGTGAAAATTAGCAGTTTATTTTATTTTTCTACATTGACAGTTGTTTATAAAATATATCCCTCTGCTGTTTTATTAATTTGCTCCCATCTGTCAAATGGGAAGCAATTCATCCAATAGTTTTTGGAAAATATCCTAAACCAGTGCTTGCTTAAAGTGTAGCCGTAGAACTCCAAAATCTTCTCAATGATCCATAAACTTCAAAATTATTTGTCAGCCTACATCAAAAAATAGTACAATATTAAAATTCCATCAAACAATCATGAGAAATAGTGATGGAAGCGAAGTCAGTTTTAAGTTTTCATACTGTAAATACCAATCAATATAAACCAAAAAATTTTCACCTCCATACTTTTTAAATGTGGGAAGAGGTCCTGAAAGAAAAAAGTTTAAGAAACACGTTCTAGACTGTCCCAAAGTTGCTTTTTCAAGAGGCAACCGGACTTTCTGTTTTTTTTTTTTTTAATTTGATTTATATGCTGCCCTTCTCCGGAACTCAGGACGGCTTACAAATAAGCAATAGCCTTCATACTTTTGTATATTTATACAAAAGGTTTTTCTTTGAAGATGTTTCACTTTTCATCCAAGAAGCTTCTTCAGCTCTGACTGGATGGTGGGGAATGGAAGGAAAAGAATGCAAATAACCAGCTGTCTGCAAGATGTCTCAATCCTTCCATTCCCCACCATCCAGTCAGAGCTGAAGCAGCTTCTTGGATGAGAAGCAAAACATCTTCAAAGAAAAACCAGAAAGTTCAGTTGCCTCTTGAAAAAGCAACTATGAGACAACTATGACCTGGATGACTGAGAATCTCCATAGACACTCTTCTAGATTGATCAGCCGAACAAGATTGGGATGGGATGAGTTATCAAAACAGGAAGTGGTTGGGTATCATGATCAAAACCCTTTTTGTATGTATATTTATGTCAGACACCTGTAGAAAGAATGGTTTTGATTGTAATGTTGAGACTACCATCTTGCACTGGGCAGCACGGAAAAGGAGAAATGTGAAATAACTCTCGGTGCACAAAATACTCTATAGAAGGAAGAATGCTCGATGAGTCACGCTCCTCCATATATAAAGATGTTAGATGCTTCTAGAACTGCTTTGCACGCAATTTAACATGTAGCTGTAGCTACTGTGACATCATAAAGGTGGTTTTTATGAATATTCCTATACTCCTTCTCAGGTTATACGCATTCAGGAAGCTGGTCAGAGAAACAACAAACAAAAAAAAGTTGTGCCAACAGCTGAAATTCAAATACTTACTGTTTGTGACTCATTTTCATTTTAATGGGAAATTGAATGTTGGTTGAAGGATGAGTTGTTAATGATGTCGGTGAACTCTGTCCGTTTGAGGTCATGGTATTTCCAATCTACACAAGATTGGAGGAAGCAGATTATAAATTGCTACATAGCACACACAAGTTAAGTACAACAAATGTTATTTCTTAGGGCCTCAGGTCGCCAGTGAGTACCTTGGCTAATGACAGGTTGTGATTGGTTTGTATTTTCTTGGGTTTTTTCCCCCTTCTCCTGGAGGATAAGACAAAGTTCATTCGTTTGCTCATCCGAGGTGTGAGATCATTATCTGTAGGAAAACAAAACAAATGATATTATTCTGTGTGAATTCCTCTACCTTTTTTTTTTTTTTTTTTAAAAATGCATTTCTGACCATATAATAACTTCAAAATTAGGGAAGAAATGGCTCTTGTTTGTTGTACATTAGTCACTTTTGAATGGTCATTTGAATGTCTAGCCAACTCACTTTTAACAGTCATGTTGTGTGTGATGTGTCATGTCATCTGACAAAGGCCTTTTGAACTTTAATATTTCCTGGGATTGCTCCAAAGCCCCAGAAGTGATGTTAGCCAAAACTTTTCTCCTATTTTGATAGGACTTTCAATGGCTGGCACCTTTGCAATGAGCTTGCCAGAGGTCAAATCATTGCTGGTGGTGTCATCGCATTCCCTTGATCAAGGTGATTCAGACATGATGAGTTATACGAGAGGGATGCTGAGAGGGCTTAGGTGAAACAGATCTCCAGTCATGATCCATATAAATCTACAACTGTATCAACTCTAGAGAGCTAGCACCATAAATAGACATGCTGCAAATTGAAAAATTGAAGAATAGGTAGCAGACTCAAAGGCATCAATTATAGGCAAAAAAAAAAAAATCAGATGTGAAAGAAATGCCTTGTCAAAGCTGAGCTACACAACTTTTTAGTGGAAATCTTAAAGCAAAACCTAGAATAATATTGCCCAAAGAACCTTTGGCAGGTATAGAAGGATTTTTATAATTTTTCCTGGTAGCGATCAGTGGTGGGTTTCACATTATGTTACTACCGGTTCACCGTGCATGCACCCAGTTTGCGCACGCACCTGCCTTCCACACATATGCCCAGCCTTCCGTGCATGTGCTTTGCTTGTGTAAGCACCTTCTGTGCATGCGCCCGGCCTAAAAAACGGGCCTAAATAGGATGGCATAGAGGCGGGGCAGGGGGGGGGCGGGCCCACCTGTGATTTCCACTACTGGTTCAGGCGAACTGATCTATACCGGCTGAATACCTCCTCTGGTAGCAATGTATGAAACAGTATAAATGAGATCCAATAAAATGGTTTCTTGATTTTTTTTAATGGCTTTAAAATTTTTGTTTTTAAAAAATCCATATCTACAGTATTTTTTTTTCTGACTTTGCCTAGTATGTGATGCCTTTATATATAATTTCGCCTAATGTTAATGTAAATTCTTTGAAGTACCACTTTTTACCATAAATTTCCCTGATTTAATCTAAAATTCTTCTCCAGTTGTGGGCTTTTTATATGTAAATTTCCCTGATGAAGGCTCTTTTTACTAATGCATCTAGCCCTTCATATGCAAAATTTACTAAAATGAAATGCACTCACTTGCATTCCTATTCCCCGTATCAAAGTTGATTGAATTTGTAGTTACAGTTGTCTTTTAGTTCAACAAGAGTGATTGGACGATATTTTTCAGTTGACTTAGCTAGTTGGCCTGGCCTAATGACTTTCTATTTTATAGAAAAGAGCAGTGAGTTAACCCCCAATAATCAACTGTCCAATAAATCAGCTGAAAGAGTAGGAATGTGCTATAATAACAAAATGTTTGGAGAACTCTAGAAATTTTCCTCTATTCTCCAGACCAGGCTACGCCTGCTCCAGAAAAATGCTGTTGGGGGAAGTAATTTGTTGGTTCTGGGAATATCTTCTACAAACTGATAGTAATTTATGTTGTCCGCACATGATCTAGAGGTATTCCAGCAGGGTCCAGAATAATAGTAAAACCAAAGGGGCCTGTGATGACCCACTTCACGGCTGTCCTGACTTATAGCTGTAATCGGCAGCCTCTCTATGAATCAACATTCATAGAGATTTTACTTGTGGAGGATAATCTAAATTGGTTAAGCGGGGAAGGACTGTTCAGTGTTACCCTACAACCATCATACCCATGCTTTCCATGTGTGATGTCACATGAACCTTCTCATCACATAGATGGAAATCCTTATTTTATCCACATTACTGAAAATGTAATAGATCATATTACATTTCCTCTCCTCTCCAAGCAACCCACACCATCATGTGCAAAAATACCATATTCCTGGAGGAGGGTGGGGATTAATCTACGTCCAACTAAATCAATTGCCATTCAATTTAAGTGCAGGCTGCCACCATGTTATTGTATTTGTATTGTATAGATCAACATCATCTTGTATAGTATGGAAGTACCACCTTCATCAGTAAATGTAGGGAGGGAGAGAGGATATATTACCCTTTTTCACATATTTATTTGTGCATGGAAAAAAATAGACAATAAGGGCCTCCTAAACAATCCTTAGGGTTTACCTTTCTTTTGTGCATCTGTTTATTAAAATTACTCACTTGCTGTTAGTACTAGATGCAAAAACATTGTCCTCATTGCTGAAAAAGTAACATGGAAAGCAATCGCATACTTTTTGGTTTTTAGAATATTAATCTTGCACTTTGAAAAATTAATTCCTGTAAGAAATAATAAAGTTGGCTCTTTTTAAAAAAATAAAAACTACAGCTACCTGCACAATATTGACACTGGCAGATGAAAGTGAATCTAAGTTAGAAGAGAATGGCATGTCTTTATTTCCACACTGTAAGAATATACTAAAAAGTGGCAGGGATTGGAAAAAAAAAACCCTTTGAATTTAACACGTGTTGTTTAATTCCTCCCAAAAGAGTCTTATTTAATGTGTGATGCAGGGATGGGTTTCAAATATTTTTACTACCAGTTCTGTGGGCGTGGCTTGGTGGGCATGGTGTGGCTTGGTGGGCGTAGCAAGAGAAGGATACTGTAAAATCTCCATTCCCACCTCACTCCAGGGGAAGGATACTGTAAAATCTCCATTCCCTCCCCACTCCAGGGGAAGGTTACTGCAAAATCCCCATTTCCTCACGATCAGCTGGGAGGCAGAGAATAGATGGGGCGGGGCCAGTCAGAGGTGGTATTTACCGGTTCTCCGAACTTCTCAAAATTTCCACTACCAGTTCTCCAGAACTGGTCAGAACCTGCTGAAACCCACCTCTGGTGTGATGTGGAGTTTCTTGTATCAGTGACAATACTCCTATATGATCTGTTTAATTTTTATACAAATATATATTATTATGATGGAAAGTTTCTGATGATAAACCTATGGTCCATTGTATATAAAAAACAAGAAGTCTTATGCCATGGGAGAATAAAAATATAACAGTCTAAGTTTCTAAATGTCTATGGTTAGCTCGACTTTCGGTAGAAAACTAGCAGTAGCTCTGATCTCAGTATCCTATTATTTACTGAGAATAGTGAATTATGCCATTTTCTTCCACTAACATGCTGGCCCCCTCTGTGTATGAGTGAGATATTTATGTTGCCCTTTGATGGCTGAACTAGATAATCTTGTCTACAAATAATTGATGTCATTTTCCTCCAGCTCTGTTGAGAGGAATCTGTATGTGCAAAGCTCTGATTTATATAACAGCTACAGTAGGTTTTCTCAAAGGTTGTTTTTTTATATATATATATTATTATTATTTTTTTGCCTTCCAACCTGGATGTTGCTGCACCATTTAGGTAGCTGCACCATTTAGGTAGCAGGTTATTTTCTATTTAATATTAGCAAGCCATTTTACCTCCTGAAATACAGTAGGTTGCCTTAAGTCCTTTTAAAAAGAATCTTGCAAAATTTAATTCTGATTTCTTTGATTTCTTGGCTTTTTCCTACTTGTGAACAATGCACAATTTTAAATGCCAAATTTAAATCCTGGCATAATAATTATCACAGGATTTTGATTGGATAAAATATGGTGCGTCATCCTTTTCCAAACCTCTTGCCACTAATAAGCACTGTTAATATTTTAAATGACATCCATTATCTTTACATAACTGTATCTTATCCCTAAGAAGATAGGCTGATAACTCCTTCTCCCATCCCCTAGAATTATATGATTTCACATAAACATCTACATTAATCTGTTTAGGTCATATCCATAGACCTGTAATACTCCTAGGAGCTTAAATCACATCCTTACTTTTTGCCTGACCGGATGCCATTGTCCTTGAGTAACTCAGTCATAAGCAGCCCACAGCTTCCAATGAGAGTCATGGCTGACTGAAGACATCTCTGTGACCAAGCAGAGATGACAATTGCTATGTAGAATGAAACACCAGTGAGAAGACTGTTCCTTTTCTCCAGAGAAAAGATTGGGAGGTCACCCAGAAGTGCTCTAAATGACAGCTCCTTGCAAGGAGACCTCTAGTAGATCTAAATGCCAGGAGCTGAGCATGAAGACATCTTTATCCTCAGCAGTGATAGAGCCTTTCATAAGGGCACAAAGCCAATTAAGTTCAGTTTTCAATCATTTTTGGAAATGTTCAATTTGATTACTTTGTGAATATGAGAGACCTTCAAAACAGCAACCTTAGCTTGATACCTGGTGAGTTTTACCTTCTTTGAATTTAAGACATTTTAAATATAGTCTGAAAAATGTTAAATAAGATATAATTGGGGGGGGAAGGATTTTGAATTTTAAAAAGCTTTAAAAGGATTGGGAGACTAGAAAGATTTGGAATGCTAGCTGTTTTTTTGTTTTTGTTTTTTGCTGCAAGACTTGAAAAACAAGTAAATAATTAAATAATATACTTGTGACAAGCAACTGTAACAGAACTAAATCCATATTAAGAACTGAGACTTAATGAAGATTGAAAATGGATACAAGTGAAAACCAAAGGACTATGCAGAAAATAGTTAAAATAGCTAAGCAGTTATAACCTTTTTTTCTTAAGGAGTTTTTTTAATATGAGTTGAAATATTAATAACTAATATATCAGAAGGGATTCAGATTTCAGTGGATTAACTTTTAGAAAACAATGAGAATTTTAAAAAATTTATCTGATATAGACTTTATAGAGTTTGAAAACATGGAAAACAACAAAATTGAGATTACTAAAAAGAGAATACAAAACACAAATCAAGAAAAGGATCTGGTTCTGGAACAGCTGTGATGATGCCTCTTAATAAGGATTTAAAATGTAGACTGGTGAAAGCTTTGAAGA